ATCCCACAGTACGAAGAAGACAGTCCTCCACGCTTGGAGTGGGTATCACAGTGTCAAGCGACATGAGAAAGATGTGCACCTGACCACCTTCATAAGCCCATTGGGTAGGTACAGATATAAAGTTGCCCCCAAGGTTACCTCGCGTACTGCGATGGCTACACCAGACATTATGACGAGATCGTGTCAGAAATCACCAACAAAATCAGATGCACCCCCCGGGGCAGTGCCGCCGACTGTAGTGTCTTTAGGCCGTTCCCAAAGGGGGACATTTCTCGTTCAAGCATAGTAGAATTGTAAATGAGCTGACCCATGTCACGCTCATAACTGCGTCTGATCTACAACAAGGAACTGCTGCTTTTTCTTTCCTGATCCTTACTATTGTCATTTTTCCTTTACTTCTTTTGTATGTTTGTCACTCTCTTGTGACCTGCTAATTCCGGGGTGCCTTGATAGTCGAAGCAGACCTTGTGCCGTTGAAGCTAGAGAGGTGAGCAGTCTAAGACAGATTCCCTGTAAAGACTTCTCTGTTGACACCCACCCCTTGGCGCTCATATGACCTTAAGCAGTTGCGAGCGCCGTAAAACCCTCTACTATAAAAAAAAAATCAAATGCGTAGACGATGCTCTGCTTAGGTCCGACACCAATAAAGATGCATTCTTCCAAACTGCAAAGTGGCTAGATGTCTGCGGGAGAAAATATCATCATCCTCAACCCCGAGAAATTCGCGTTCGCTGCTGACACCATTGAATTTGCTGGATTTGAGACATCAACCTTTACAGTCCGCCCTTGACCACGACTCCTGGAGGTCCAACGGTACAAAAAAATGTCAATTTCTTTGATTTCATTATTTTGACGAGAGCCTGGTTTCACCACGATGCCTCACATATTATGGTCTAGAAAAGTTACACTTTAATCAACGCTGGGCTCCGTTTGATTCAGGGAAAGAAACAAAGCCTTGATGGTACGCCTGTATTTTGAACTCATTTTGATGTAGAGAAGAATGTTTATTGAGCTGTTGACACCGTGCAAGACCTGCGTAAAAGACAGACAGACATTATGCAAGTTCTGATAAGCTCTACTCGGGTAACACTCCTGTTCTAGTTCCATGGCCAAAAACATGGCGCCAGTGGGCGCGAAGCTAATGAGGAACACTGCAGCGATGAGCAATATCATTTTGGCTACTTGAATGTCCTTGTTCTGTGTCGACGTGTTTCCTTGTGGTCGGACGGCGCTCGTTTGTGACGTGCCGCTATTTCTGGAACACTTCCACTTCCGGCGGCGCTGAATAAGTGCGTGAATCAGGATGATTGAGAACACGTAGACGCAGAGGAAAGAGCCTCCTGACACAATGGCACCTGTTACCAAAACAAACTGTTCGATGGCATATTCTTTGTTGTTGTAGACGATTCTGAGCATCGTCTTGTTTTTCATGGGATCGAAGATAGGATCGAGGTAGGTGTAGGTAAGAGCTGGGAATAAGGACAGTAACAAAAAGAAGGATGTAGCAGCAAGGCAAATGGTTGTCCTTTTCGGGGTGAGTATTCTGTGTACATGCAGGGGTTTTATGATACACAGACAACGCTCCATCGTCACGAAAGCAGTGATCACGCCTGATGACCTGTGGAAAAGGATAATACAATTCATAAATGAAACACACGCACATACACAGACACACTCATACACACATACAAACGTAAACACACCTATATACACAAACTTACACACACACACACACACACACACACACACACACACACACACACACACACACACACAAACACACACACACAAACAAACACACATGCGCACACACACACACACACACACACACACACACACACACACACACACACACACGCGCGCGCGCGCGCGCGCAGGCGTGCGCATTCATGCACACATGCTCTTGCACACGAGCTCTTACACACATAAACAGAAACACTCACATACACACAGCATACTAGTAGACACACTCACGCCTACACTCATGTATACACACATGAACACACACACAGGCACGGACACACGCACACACTCACACACTCACACACACACACACACGCACGCACGCACTCTCTCTCTCTCTCTCTCTCTCTCTCTCTCTCTCTCTCTCTCTCACACACACACACACACACACACACACACACACACACACACACACACAAACACGCATACACATACACATACACAATTACATACAATATACTTACTTACTTACTTACTTACTTACTTACTTACTTACTAACTTACTAACTTACTTACTAACTAACTTACTTACTTACTTACTTACTAACTTACTTACTTACTTACTTACTTACTTACTTACTTACTTACTAACTTACTTACTTACTTACTTGCTTACTTACTTACTTACTTACTTACTTACTTACTTACTTACTTACTTACTTACTTACTAACTTACTAACTTTGTTTTGAGCCAGCTTGGTCAACGTCCCCCACGAATGATTCCAGGACTTCATTTCAGACTCCACTTTACGTCTCCAGGTCACTTTGGGTCAGCCCCTCTAGCGATGTCCTTCAGGTGTCCAGTGGAGGGCAGTCTTTACAATAGAGTCTGGTTCTCTTCTCAGAACATGCCCAATCCATTTCCATCTTCTCCTTTTTATTATAGTGGTTATATCCTCTTGCCTCCATTTCCGTAAAAGATCTGCGTTGGAAATCTTGTCGGGTCAGAAGATTCGGAGTATTTGGCGTAAGCTGGTTGTATGAAAAGAAGATAGCTTGGCACGATCATGACCAGTCTTCCTTCAGCATTCAGATCCCTATAGGAGTGTGGATAGTACACAACTGTTATACAGCTTTAACGTAGTCTGTATACTAAACTGTCCTGACTTCCAGATGTTGACCATGCTTCTGTGTACAGATCTTGCCTTGCCGAGTCTGTTCATGATGTCTTCCTTCGTGCCGCCGTCAGTTTTGATCATGCTGCCTAGGTGGGTAAACTTCTCTGTTATAGGCGGGTGTGCGTTGTTCTCCCTAATCAGCGTTGGGGAGCCTACATTCAGTGTCATCACGTCTGTCTTCTTCTGGCTTTTTCTTCACCCAATCGGGTGTCCGTATTTGTGGAGTCGGTTTGTTTTTTCCTGCTTGTGCTGGTTGGTATGGGAGAGTTGTGCAAGGTCGTCGACAAGATCAAGATCCTCGAGGGTGGAGAAAAGGGTCCACCTTATGCCTCTTGATGTATCTTCTGTTGTTTTCCTCATGACCCAGTCAATGGCAAGGTTGAACAGAATTGCTGACATGTAGCATCCTTGTCGAACTCCTGTCTTTACCTCAAAAGCAGTAGTCCTGTTCCCAACGACGTGCTTGAATCTTTGGTAGAAGCTCTTGATGACCTCAACTATCTTGCCAGGGATTCCATAAGATCGTAGAATGCACCAAAGACTTTCTCTATGCACACCGTCGCACACCTTTTCAAAATCAACGACGTTGACATAAAGTTGTCTCTGCCTTTCCGTGCACTGGTCTGTTATGTTGCGGAGGGCACATATCTTATCTGTGCATCTTCTTTCTTTGCGGAATCCTGCCTGTTCTTTTCTTAAGCATCTGTCCACGGCATCCGACATCCGATTAATAATAATCTTGGCCAGGATCTTGCTGGGCACTGATAGCAACGTGATACCTCTCTAGTTGTTGAGGTCCCCAAGAGCTCCTTTCTTTGGTACTTTAACAATGACCCCAGTTCTCCAGTCCTCGGGAATCTGCTCTCCCTCCTGTATGGTTTTGAATAGTGACAGTCAGTTCTGGGTCTACTTTAAACAATTCAGCATTCAGGTTGTCCATTCCTGAAGATTTTCCTTCTTTCAGGCTCTTAACAGCTTTTACAACCTCGTGTCTCTGTGATGATATCCAGATCCAAGGTAGCTTCCGGTATGTCTGGGGTGTCCTCAGGTGGAGGTTGGTTTAGGACTTCCCTGAAGTGTTCTGTCCAGCGTGCTTCCTGTTCCTTCTCGATTGTCAGCAGCTTGCCAGTCTTGTCTTTGATTAGTCCACTCCTTCCACCGTGGTACTTGCCACATATTATTCTTGTCATCTTGTATACGTTGCCTCGTTCACCTTTAGCAGCTGCCTCCTCTGTCTCAGTTGCCAAATTTTCCATGGCTTCTCTTTTGTCCTTCCTAACCAGTCTTTTAACTTTCTGGCAAGCTTCCTTGTAATCCTCTGCGTACTTTTCTTGTTGCCGTATCGACTTAGCTGCAAGCTGTCTTTTCCTGATTTCTCTCCGTTCTTCAATAATATTTCATGTTCCTTGCTGTATCCATGCATTGCTTGCATTCTGTTTCTTGACACCAAGACATGTCTTACTGCTCTCTGTATAGGCCTCAACAATAAGCTTCCATTGGGTATTTACTTCATCTGTAGTGGGGTGGTTTGTTCCAGGTCTTGGAGAGCTTGAAATCGGTTCTTAAGTTCTAGTCGGAAGGCAGATCTCACATTGCCATCACTGAGCTTGTGAACATTAAATTGTGTCCTTGTCGCCTCCCTGGTGAATGTTTTCTTCAGCTTGAATTGTATCCTTGCCGTCACTAGATGGTGATCACTGCCGACATCTGCTCCTCTTCTGACTTTCACATCCTGTAGGGAAAGTCTCCGCATTCCTCCTATCATAAGGTGGTCAATCTGGTTCTTGTCCCGGCCATTTGGAGAATTCCAGGTCAGTTTGTGGATTGTGCGGTGTGGGAAGAGGGTTCCGCCTATCACAAAGTTGTTCAAAGCGCAGAAGTCCACTAGTCTTTCCCCGTTCTCATTTCTTGTACCCATACCATGCTGTCCCATCGTTCTCTCATAGTTGGTGTTGTCCTCTCCTACTTTAACATTCAGATCACCCATTACAACGATAAGGTCATGACGAGGTATACCTGTCAATTCCCTCTGCAGATATTCATAAAAATAGTCCTTGCTTTCATCTTCACTGTCGTTAGAAGGAGCGTAACATTAGATGATGCTTGTGTTGGTGTGCTTTCCCCTCAGTCTCAGTGTCATCATTCTGCTGTTGATCGGTTTCCACTCCATGAGGCATTTCTCAAGTCCCTTATTAGGATGACAGCTCCACCTTCCCTATGTCGGTTGTCTTCTCTGCCGGAATAGATCAGGGTTTCTCCAGTTGCTGTTCTCAGCCTGCCGGATCCTGTCCACTGACTTTCACTTATGCCCAGAACGTGCAATCCATATCTCCTCATCTCTGCCGTTACTTGAGCCAACTTACCAGCTTCGTACATTGTCCTTACATTCCACTGTCCTATGATAACTTTTGTCTTTGCGGTGTTCAGGTCCTCCATCTTCCTACAAACAGCTTCCTGGCGGCTTTCATTGCCAGCATTCATACGAGTCACAAGCGACTCTGAAGGTCCATCACACACAGAAATATGGTTTCTCTTTGTTGCTGTTTCCGTAACATATGCTTTTTTACCAGTCTGGGTCGCTAGCCCTGAGCTGAACCTCCGAAACCTGGAGGGCCGGGGGATCACGCTATGTCTGACCCAGGAGGTTATACAGAAAGGTCCTTTGTCTGACCTCTACCTGACCTCTACCTGACCCCTACCTGACTTCTACCTGACCTCTACCTGACCTCTACCCGTCGACCTGTCTGGCATGGGTGGTCCTACCAGGAGCATTAGCTCCAGCCACCATAGCTCTTGGGGTCACAGAGGCACACAAGCTCTCTAACCACTGCACGGTAGTGATCCACTAGAGAGTATACTATATACATACTCTACGTCATTGTGTGTGTTGAATATTCCCTTGAAGTCTTGAACTTTTGGTGATATTGGCATCAGATTTTAGAATTCTTGATTACGTCTCCGAATAATCTTATGAAAGAACATTTGTTTTTTTACCTCATGGTCTTATAGTGCCTAAAAAGGCCAACAATGTCAGATAACATGTTTTTGATGTACTTCTGAAGTAGCCAGCTTGAACATATACTCAGTACATCTTTGTTGTGTATACTTTTGTTACATGGAGCTGAGGCAGGAGCTTGTTTACTGTTTCGTTTCTCTGGAAACTTCAATAAAGTTAGGGCAGGAAAACATACCACATGTACAAGCGCCCGTCAAAATAGGAACAATAATAGACGAATATTAAAAATAGGTTGGGAAAGCATCATGTCCTCTTTATAAAATTGTTTGTTCGTACAATTGCCAAAACATCTCTTTGAGAGAAAAAAGGTTACGAAACAACCATAATGTTTCAAACGTTATGGAACAAAATATTTGTTTTCAAAAAGGAAACATTTATACTTTTATATCTGAAAATTCTTATGAAAGCAGCCAAAAACTTTCTTCAGGCACTGCTCCAAAAATAAATAAATTATTTTTTTTTAAATCGCAAACTTTGCCACCCTTTCTCAGAGTCAGTCTGTATATATAGAATTGATGTATGGTCATAAACATTTCCAAACCATAATAATGTATGCCCTTGTTGCATGCTTGTAACATTTTAGGCAACCTTGACAAAGCTCATTTTCTGGACGCCTCATATAGCCGATCACCAACAAATCCACAAGCACGAGGCATCATGGCATGGGAGCTTCAAAATACAACATTCTTGAAGCATAACACATGCATTAATACAGTACATGTATATGCATTGGTTAGTTGTTTTTTTACGGCGCTCGTAACTGCATAAGGTCACATGAGCGCACGGGACACATTGAACATTTTTCTTTTTCAGTTTGATAAGAATTTTGAATTTTCCCCGTGTTGTGGTTTAGGCAAAACTCATATAAGGATAAAAACTGACTAGATCATATCTTCTGGAATCTCACCACTGTCATAGATTAAATTCAAGAGCCTTGTTGTCAGTTCAATAGGCCTACTAATTCATTGTAAAGTGACAATCCCTTCAACTGGAATAACATCTAGCTCTGTAGCTTTTTCTTCTTTCCTTTTCCTTATACCAGCTTGTACTTCTTTTTTTTTTAATGGCGGTCCGTTCATTTAGAAGCCAGTAGATCTGTTCCTCCTTTAGAAGCCAGTAGATCTGTTCCTTTATTGCAGGTTTTTTTCACGTCTGTTATTTTGTTTTCAATGTAAAAATGTCTACTGTACCGTGCATTCTAGGCATCTGTTCAAGGCATACCCTACAGGTGATAGCTTCAGCTCAAGATATAGATATCACATCATTGACATCGTTCTCTTGTAATGAAGTTGGCGAAATGCTTCATGCCAGTTTGCCACGCCATGCCATATCGTGCGTTAATAAGGATTAGGAAAGAAAAAGCAGTTGTTCCCTGTTGTAGATCAGGCACAGTTATGAGCGTGAAATTGATAAATCAGCCCATTTACAATTCTACTGTGCATGAACGAGAAATGTCCCCCTTTGGGAATGGCCTAAAGATAGTTCAGTCAGTGGCACTGCCCCGGGGACACTTCAGTCAGTGGCACTGCCCCGGGGACACTTCAGTCAGTGGCACTGCCCCGGGGGGTGTAATCACCGGAAGTCCACAGATAGTGAAAGATACGAGGTCCTTCTGAGAATAAAGTTTCCCCGTCATGCTGTCCTCTCATATGATTATAAATCATCTTGTACATGTTTTTGGTATCAACAGAAAGCTTATTTAAATACCTATTCAACGTAGGAACCTTGAAGCTCCAGACATTTCTCAATTCGAAGCACCCAGCGGTCAAAGACAATGCGCTCCCTCAGGAGTACAAAGTTCCATCTGACATTGTTCTCCCTTTCTAGTTGTTGGGACTATGAGTTATTTTAAGGGGGGGGCTATACCCCCAAAAGTTCCGATTCGGCTCAAACATTACCTCAAAGTATGGATTTTGAGTTGTAGGCATTTTTAGCTTCTTCGGCCTCTCTTACAACTATTTAATTTAATTTTCATAGCCTGATAACCTCCTAACGTCTTATTTTTCCCCTTACCGGGCATGTTTGTCTCAACCATTTCCTCACAAAGTCAATCTTGTATTTTCCTTAAGCCCTCAAGCAGCTGCTGTACTGACACAAGGTAGTTACTTCCACTCATCTGCCGGTACTGGCTAAACCGAAATTCCAGGTTGTCGGTTTGAAATTTTCCCAGCAAGACGTAGTGGAAGTTTTTCTTCTCCAACAAATATTGGCATAGCTGGAGAAATGCGGCCAGAGTATGATGTAACGCTGTCATAGTTTCAGATGACAGTGTGCCTTGTCTTGGCTTCAACCCCATCCTCTCCCACTCACAGAGCCACTGCCAGACGACTTGTGTCTGTTTGAAGTTTTCGTCAGAACATGACGAGAGGGCTCGACAGTCTGCATTCCTCAGCCTGATGTTCTTGTACGGCTGCTTTACGTTCACTATGTCCCACAGCCGAATCACAGTAGTCAGGAACTGTCTGGTACCGTGAGTGTCGACTTGCCAACCAGCTCCAAAATGTTCCAGAGCGGCTACGTTTCTTTGATCAAAGATCGTGACCTCGATTATGACACCGGCTCCTGGCCGCGAAAAGCTAGACAAAAAACAGCCAAATGTGAAATAAAAAATTAATAATTGGCATGCTCTACCAAAGTGTTTCGACTGTCTGGTATAACATGCCATTGTAGTACTGACATCTCTGCTTCTTTCCTTTGTGTTCGTGTGGTGTTCAAATCTAAAGTTAAATTTAAGGTAGTTAGAATAAATATTTAATTAAATACTTTCCCGATTATTTTAGCGGTTGAATATGCATACAACATGAATTCAGGATTTGTTTTCATTCACAACTCAGAGTTGCCGCCTCCAGTATCAGTAAGATTCTTGTGACTTGTGTGAGTGTGATATCTCCAGGCCCTATCTGGTCCCATCTCACTTTGATTACCCTGTCAAACAAGTGGCTGCGCCGGGGAACAGCGACTGCTGACGTCATTTTACCGGGGAACAGCGACCGGGGAACAGCGACCGGGGAACAGCGACAAGTATTTTACTATATTTCTTTGTTACAGTTGAACTTGGTGTAATCGCCTACGGTATCGAATACAATTAGACCAAACATGTTACAATTCGTCTCGATTTTCAGTAAGTGTAACTAGAGCTCAGTCAAATCTCCCGCCCATCTGTTCATAGGGATATTAAGGAGGAACAAGGAACACAGAAGTTGATCACAGCGTAAAGCAATAAAGAGCTGTCGCAGGGAGAATTTTAAAGAAAAATTTCTTTTAAAATGCTGTCAGCTCATTAGCAAGTTTGAAAACAGTCTCCGGAATGTTCTTAAAGTTTGAACTTTTGTTTTTCTCTCTTTGCATTGTCCTCTTCAGGTGGATGTCATCATTTTCAGTTTAGATGTTGCGATTGCATTTCTCCGTTTCATCTTTGTTTTCCATTTTGATATTGTTTCTAGATCATTGGTTTATCATACTCCTACACGATCATACTCTTGCTCACATGATCACACACACACACACACAAACACACACACACACAAACACACACACACGCACACACGTTATAGCCCCTCCTCCCTCTCTCTCTCTCTCTCTCTCTCTCTCTCTCTCTCTCTCTCTCTCTCTCTCTCTCTCTCTCTCTCTCTCTCACACACACACACACACACACACACACACACACACACACACACACACACACATATACAAACATACATACAATCACACACAAACACATACACACAAATACACACACACACGCAGACAATCACATAAATTCATAATTGGTGTTATTTTATTCAACATACATGTACGTGTGTGTATCAATAAAGTACAAATACAATGGGGGAAAATCACCAAAGCACAAAACAAACAAACACGCACACGGATTTATGATGGACGTCGTTTTATGAAGCAAACATGTACGTGTGTGTATCAGCAGTGTAAAAATGGAGACAGAAAAAAAGAGAATAGAAACAGGAACAAAAAGAAACCAAACAAATAAAAACACACCGGCACACACATTTCTACCTGGGATAATTTCATGGAACAAAAAAATAAATGGTATGGGTTTAACGCCCATATCAACAAAAATAGGTTATTTAAGGGGCGGGCTTTCATAGAACATAGAAATACAATATCATGTACATGTGTGTATTGTGATTCGGTTTAAAAAAGATCCCTGGAAGATCATTTTTTAAAACCCCCACCCCAGAACAATCAGGACCAAACATACGGTCTCTCGTGGTCTAGAAGTACGCGTTCGCTTCACATTAAATTGGTTTCTGGTTCGCAACCAGACAGCAACGGAAACATTTTTTCCCTCTAAAACGTTCTTTTCACCCCCTTGTCTGCTTTCATCTCCACTTTCTCGCTCTAACCTGGCCAACCCCCGGACAGTGGGCTCCTCTCTCCTTTGCTCCTGACTTTCTACAAGTACTGCTTCTCCCTGCTCCTTCTTTCTACTGTCTTTCAGCCAAGCATCCCTAATCTTAGAGTAGGAGTGACCGAGCATTTGGCTTTCTCGAAAGGGCAAAAAATCTCGAAGGTTCCAAGTGCAAGCTGCGCACTTTAAGTGGTTCTTAAATCGATATAAGAGTAGGCTTCGGCCGCCACCAAGGCAAAATTCAAAATTAATTCATACCAAAACCTGACAATACTCTAGTCAGTATAAAGACATAAACAGTACCTTTGAACTCTGAACGTGGCTGCCTGAAGAAAGCATGGGGCCCTACGAAGTAGGAAAAACGGGCACATACGTAAAAATCAATTGCACTACAGGTTGAAGAACCAGCAGTCGACTTCCCCTAAGGTCTAGAGGAGAAGGAGGAGGAGGAGGAGGAGGAGGGGGAGGGGAGGGGGAGGGGGAGGGGGAGGGGGAGGAGGAGGAGGAGGAGGAGGAGAAGGAGGAGGAGAACAAGAACAAGAACAAGAACAAGAACAAGAACAAGAACAAGATCAAACGTCAGAACAACGTAATTATCCTGAGCATGATGAGGTTCCTGGAGCCAAGCGTGCTTCACATTGTGTATACTTTTAAACGGGTAACAGTGACCCAGAATTTAGACCAAGTTAATTGTTTACTTTCTCGCGTTTAATTCCGGGGGAGGACTTCCGTATCGAGCTACCACTCTGAACTCTATGAGAATATTATACTTACTCACAGGCCATCAAAATTATTACAACAGGCCTTTAACGCCAATATAGTAATGTTACAACCTACAGATGAGGACATTGCCGTGGTTTACGTATTCTTACAAACTCCAGCGCAAAGTTTGAATATCCAATCGGGGATGCATAGATTTTTGTCGAGATCTAAACGCAAGAAAGTAAACAATTGCTAACAATGCTTCCTCCTTTGTAGAATCAACCACAGATGGCAGTATCTATCGTTTTCTCAATGAGCATAGATGAAAAGCATCTTTCGTTGGTGACAGAACATGATGAGTAAATGGAGTACGATCTGTTTTTTTAAGGGGGGGGGGGGGGAGTTTCACAATGTTCTGGCATGGAGTACGTGCCATGGGGAAAGGCTGAGCATTATGCAGCGTTTTGAGTAAATAAGAGCTCAACTAACAAAGAAGAGTTGGATTTCTTACACCCAGTCACCAGATGTAAGTTGAGTACATGTTTTACAGTACAGTGGCGTCCAAAAGAAACTTGAAAATGTAATCACCCAATCATCGTGTTAAAGCCTTGCACCACCCACTCATGCAGTATGCCAATTTAAAGCTAAATAAATCCTGCATCATCTGACTCAATAATACTTCACTTATGTTCACAGATGCTCGAGATATGATTACTTAAAATAATTGACCTTAAAAATTCAAGCTTGGCAAAATTGGGCAAAATCAAAGAAACGTAAAAGTGTGTTCGTGGCGTGTATTGAGGTTCATCAACGTTGGGGGAATGGAATGTATAGAATATCAAATGAAAAGAAAGTATTATTGTCTCTGCAATGAATAGCATCTTCTGAAATACATTTTAAAACAAGTTAGAAAACAGATTACTTACAAATACCATGCTGCACTTAGACTTAACATTGCTTGTGCTCATTAGTTTGATTTTGTTATGGTTTAGGAGCTATTGGTCTTCTTGTAGAGCACAAACCTTTTAGCACATGGCTGTGTAAGTTAGATTATAGACTAATCATCTGTCAGTGAAGAGAGGAGTCCATGAAACTGCCTTTTTTTTTTGGGGGGGGGGTGGTGGTCTGGGACGAAATGAACAAAATCGTCCGCATGTGAATCATCGGATGGCTTGCTTTAGTTGAGTACATCGCGCAAGTGTTGGAAAGTCATGTCTTACCCTTATTTCCCCCATGGTGTCATTCAAGTAGACATCTCCATTCATGGCAAATCACTTTCTTATTGGGCCAATATTATCACGAGACAATTCTTGGAAAACTATACCATATCAACGTTGGAGTGGTCACCAGTAAATAGCCCGATATGAATCCTACAGGTATGTGAAATCCCATGAAACAGCAGCTGAAGAAAATTGACGTTGGTCCCAATTCAGAACCTTCGTTTGCAACTGTCTGTGAATTCTGGGATGAAATGACTGATAATTGTCCAAAATTTAGCAGAGTCGATGCCCTGTGGGTTCGTGCACTACACAAAACCAATGGCTCCTACGCAAAAAAAAAAACAACCAACAACAATGAGCACATTTAAAGTCCAAGTTTTTCTGGTATTTGTGATTGCTCTGTTTTCTGTTTTGTTTGAAATTGAAAATATTGACATCAAATTTATTTTTTGTGTGCAGAGAAACAAATTCTCCATTCATTGGATATGCAATGTATGTCCATTCTATCAATATTGATGGTCCCCAATACACGAGCGAAGACGTTTCTGTGATTTGGCACAATTTTGGCAAGCCTGATTTTTTAAGGTCAGTTTTGAGTGACCATATTATTTTCTCGAGCATCTCTTAACATAGATGAAATATTATTGCGTCAGATGTTGCAGAATTTATTTAGCCTTAAATTGATATGCTGTATGAGTAGGTAGTGCAAGGCTTTAACCCGATTAATGAGTGATTGCATTATCAAGTTTCTTTTGGAACCCACTGTATAATACATGTGCGGGTGTGTTACACCCAGTTGTCGGTCAAAGGGATATAAATAGGTTACCGTTAAAAGGGTTAATATGTAAAGTCCAGGTTACTCTCAGCGATAAATCGTATTACATCCTTCGTATAGTAGAACTGTCAGATTTATCAAACTCCATATTCCGTTTACACATTCCAATTTATAGTGTCCTATTCCCTTTCAATGGGGGGAGATTCCTTCTTCTTGCGCCAGTTGACTCT